GGGGGGGGGGGGGGCTCAGAGTTTCAGATGAACGGACCAGAGAAAACCAGATTAAAAAGTGATTTAAAAGTTGCATCTGGAGGAGAATTACCGTATTTTCCCGCAGTACACGTCGCTCCGCCCTATCAGTCGCATCAGTGCAAATACGTCTAATAAAGTGGAAAAATCCATAAACATGTTGCTTCGCCGTATAAGTCGCATCTATTACACGTCACCGCTGACAACCTGGAAATGTGGGCCGGTCTTGTGCCAAAAATCGATTGACTGCCAAATGACGGCTGTGGGAACGTGCACGGGAGGACTTTAACAATAATTTAACAAAATTAACACTTACAAACAATTATTTGTTTGCTCAAAATTATAGTAAAGGTGCGTCTCAGTTGAACTTTTACTTAATAAATGCACTTTGATGAGCAAATCAGCTGAATTTCACCGGGGTGCGCAGCAAAATGAAGATGATTCAGTTGCTTTAGGCAGACGATGGTGGCAGTGTATGGCAAGCCGATTGTGCCACTTTTACCTATTACATGATTCATTGGCATGCCTTACTACTTGAGTGCCATCTAGTGGCTGAAAATGGTAGTGTTCAATTTCTTTCAGTCAGGATGAATCAAAACTGTCATTTCTCAGCCAAAAATTGGTTTATAAATATGGGGAAATATCCATAATTATGTCGCTTCCACCTATAAATCGCAGAACATGCAAATTATACAAAAAAACTTCAACTTATAGACTGAAAAATACAGTACTTGACCTGCTTACCCCAAAGACTGCTGTTTAGCATCGCCTCTGACTACAGTATGTAAAAGACCTCTAGGTTCATCTACAGTTCCCATTTCAAAAAAATCCCACTCAAGATTCCAGATATCTAGTATCAGTACTTAGACTCATAGTTAATGCCTCAATACAATATCACATTGTAAACATGCAGCACAAACCATGCACAAAAAGAATAGAGAAAACAAAAGGAGAAAATATATTGATGCGTTTACAGTCTTAATCGAACAGTTCAGTTTTTGTTACAAGCCTTTGTGCACTGGTGATGGACAAGATGACAGATAAGATCGGACAGTAATCCCTCTGGATCATGATGTTTGCAGATGACTTTGTGATCTGTAGCAGTGAGATACACGAGAGTGAGGACGCCAGGATTAGACGGACTGAAGGTAGATGAGTTGATGTTCCTGAAGTCAAACGCCCAAGGCAACAAGAAGTGAACAAGATGGCGGCGAGTGTCAGGGGTGATTTGTGACAGAAAGATAGCCTTACGAGTGGAAGGGAAGGTTTACAGGACAATAGAGGAGTTTCACTCTTATGTCCTCTTCAGTACTGAGAGTTTCCACAACTCAGAGCTCACCACAACTACAGAGTCTGCCTGAATTTATGTAACACATATATTTTATGTTTTCGCTTGTAATTTATGGTGAAATGTTGGCAGTTGTAGGAAATTTCATTATGTGTGTGTTTTAGCTGTTTTGACAGTCTTTGGTAAAATATGTTTGGTTTTTAATTAAAACTCATTAAACAGGCGATAAAAAGAAAGATGTAAAAAAAGAACAAGTTTTTAAATTGAATAAAATTCAAGTAAACTGTCCTGACTGATAATGAGAAAAGTTGATTTAATATTTGTGCATATTTTTCTGACGTAAGAAACATAACCAACCTTAAACTTTTATTTAAAGAAAAGGTTGATAACTATACAAGTGTAAATGAGTTGGACCTTTTTCTAAAGTCTGAAAAGACCAATGAGAAATCAGACAGAAGACAGGTCGGTCAGTTGAACATGTGATAAAAGCCTTTTTTAAATGAAATATATTGTTAAAATATCTTGTATCTTGTCTTGTTCTCATAAGTAATTTGTCTTTTATCCTGTGAAATAAGAGTTTTGTTACATCCCCTAATGACGATGTTAATTTTTTATCTTTGGTAAATATGAGTTGAGAATAATGAGGTGAGTGGATGCAGGTGACGACGTGAGGATGAAGGATAACACACTTGATTGGGGATTAACAAAAAATCAATTTTTTTCCTCTCGTTAAAACATTCATGGAGCATTACCAAAAGCATCTCAGACCAACAGGTTCTGTGACGACTACCATCAACACTTGAACATGTTGGACTTAAAGGCTGGTTTTAG